ACATCAGGTGAGAATACAACTGATAGAACCCAATCACTGTGACCTTGCAATGTTCTCAGTTGGTATCCTGTCTTTGCATCCCATATCTTAATTAAGTGGTCATGGGAACCAGAAACAATTTGATTGCCATCCAGTGAAAACATAACTGACACAACTTGATCAGTATGACCTTGCAGCTCTTTAAGCTGGTGGCCTGACTTCATATCCCACAGCCGTACCGAATTATCCCAAGAACCAGAGACAATTTGGTGGCCATCAGGTGAGAATGAAACTGAAGTGACAAAACTTGCATGGCCTTCTTGTTCCCTCAGCTGGCCTGTGTTTGCATCCCATACATTGATTGAGCCATCATTAGAACTAGAGATGATTTTGTTGCCATCAGGTAAAAATGTGACTGATTTAACATCATTTGTATGACCTTGCAGCTTCCTCAGCAGGTGGCCTATCTTTGCATCCCACGCACCTATTGATTGGTCTCTAGAACCAGAGACAATTTGATTGCCATCAGGTGAGAATGCAACTGAGAAGACGGAACCAGAATGGCCCTGCAGTTTGCTCAGAATGTGGCCTGTGTCTGCATCCCACACCAGTATTAATTTGTCAAAGGAACCAGATACAATTTTACAGCTGTCAGGTGAGAACGAAACTGAGGACACATAATCACTGTGACCTCGCATCTTTCTTAGGTAGTCACCTGTCTTTGCATCCCATACCCACACTGAGCCACCACCACCACCAGATGCAATTTTGTGGCTATCAGGTGAGAATACAGGTGAAATAACATCATTTTCAGGACCATGCAACTCTCTTAGCACTCTGCCTGTCTTTGTATCCCACACCTGTATCAAGAAGTCACGAGCAGCAGATACTACTTCAGAGCAATCAGGTGAGAATGCAACTGATAGGACATCACTGGAATGACTTTGCAAGTTTATTATCTGGTGGCCTGTCTTTGCATCCCACAATCTTGTTGAGTTGTCCTTGGAACAAGAAACAATTTGGTTGCCATTGGATGAGAATGCAACAGACCAAACAATATCAGTATGACCCTGCAGCTTCTTTAACAAATGACCTGTCTTTATATCCCATATCAGTAATGATGAATCATGCTTAGAATGAGTGACAATCTGGTCACCCCTCCCTGATACAGCTGCATCTGTTATATGTTGGTTGGTAGTTATTGTCAGCAAAGGGAGTGTAATAGCATCTTTCAGCAATGTAATTGATGGAAGTGCAGTAAAGTGGTGTTTCCAATGTGTCCAGACTGGTGAATCTTGATACCATGTAGATAATGCTGAAATGTATAAATGTGGAGTTGACTCTGATGCATGACTACCTGCAAAATGAGCTGCAAAATGAGCTGCATCTGAGAGGTACTCCAGAAAACCTAGTGGTTGTACTCCCTAAGATTACAGTGTACATCAGTATTATTGTGCTTAACACATAAAATTATTCTTACTTTTTTGAACCATTCTTCAGCATCCTTCAATAAAGATGCACACTCAAATTTGGCATTAATAAGATTCATAGCCTCAATCCAGAATAGTAGCTTGTTACACATGAAGTCATCAAGAAATTGCAACAGTTCATTGGTTTCATCATCTGCAGGTGCTGCCTGAGAGAGGTGTGTAGCCCAATGTCGGGATGCATATTGTAGAACAGGTGGGAGATTTCTGAGCTTTTCATCATCAAGTGCAGGCACATCAGAATCAAATTGAAATGATGACTTGAGGTTACACATATTGAAATGCAGCAGTTCTCCCATGATGGAGAAACACTTACAAGCCAGGATCACATGATGAGCAACTTTGTCACAGAATACATTGATCTCTTGACTTGGACAGCCTTGCTTCAGAGAGATGGTGAATTTTGCTTGCACTTGAGTGAAAATGAAATCAGGAAATGATGTGTGGTACCAGTAGACACATTCATCTTTAGAAGAAATGAACAGGACAGCATGCAGAGATTCTATAGTTTTCTCAACTGTATCCTGATCACTGTCACTCAGATGAGCTATAACAGACACACTGATCCTGCTTTCTGCACACAGAATTGTGTGGAGGATCTGCAACCGTTCATCACAGATACGGTCATCAGAAAAAGTATCTCCCAGGATCTTCTGATACAGCTCATCAACTGCATTTTGTTCAGGCCCCCTACTTGATACTGGCCATGAGTTTACAATAAATTGTAACTCTTTGCACTTCTCATGAACTGAGAAAGGTTGACTAGGAGAGGATATGAATCTCACAGCAGTAGCAGCATAAATAAAGAATCCCTGTGCCTGGCTTGCCAGTTTTACTAGATTTGGCTCATCCTTTAAATCTGGGAGTGCAGAGAACAAATATTTCTCAATGTCTTTTTGGACATTGAAAACATCAATCTCATGGAGCTTCAAGACTGCATTTGAAGGGAATGATTTGCAAAAGTCAAAGAGTGTAGGTTCTGGCCGACTTGTCACAAGAAATTTGATCCCTGAGAGCTTACCCGAGTCCACAGCATCAAGGAGCTCCTTCAAGAATTCAGTTCCGCGATCACTTTCATCAAGAGCATCCACTACTACTATAGGCACTGGAAGGCAATCACGATGGGCAAGAGAAGCCTTCCATGGATTTGCAAAAAGCTCCTCCATCTGGAGTGGCAGCCATGCATGTACAATCTTAGAGTCTCTCTCCAGAACAGGCAAAAGCTCAGATGCAAACGAACAAAACAGTTCAGCAAGGTCACGACAGATTGTTGTAATGAGAAGCTTTGAGTTCTTGCTGTCAAGTTGACGTGAACAGAAGAAGGAGACAAAGGGAAGGCCTGCTTCTTTTAACTCCTCACAGATAGTGTAGGCAATTGTTGTTTTTCCTAAGCCAGCCAGTCCAGTGAGCCAGTAGACAGATGGAGCCTTTGTAGAGTCAGTCTCCTTTGCCCACTCCATGATCTGCTTGATGACATCAACACGAGTATCCTTAGTGCATGGCCCTCGTGAAATATTGTCAAGGTTGATGGCAGCAGTGAAAGCCGCATCATGAGAGCGGGGAAGGGTCTGGAAAACTATATTCTGCAAGAATGTCATTAATATTCTCAAATCCCAAACTTCAAGGCATGATACCTTGAGAATATCGCGCATGTTCCTCTCTATCAATAAAGTTAGACCAACCTGGACGTGGTCAATGAAAGAGATTTACAAAGACCACGATTGACTTACAAGGAATAGATGAAGAGCATCTTTAATTGCATTGCATGAGGAGACGAGCTCCCCCGCATGATCACTATTACGAGCCAACCTGCCCAGAAATCCTCGTTCAAGCATGGCCTTGACCTTTCTGTCCTCTTCTTCTAGCGATCTTGGATGTTGTGTTGGTGATTCGCAGTTCAAAAGACATGAAAGAGTAGCAGCGTACTTTAATAACTTCTTCATAATGCGATCAAGCGCCTTCTGGTCCCTAGGTTCCGCTAGCTTGACTGCTAGCTCCGACCCCAAATCAGAAATGATTTTCAAAATCCGTTCCATCTCTTCGTGGTTTCCAGATGTTCTCTACCAAAAGCGTAAGCCAGAACGACCTACGTCAACATCGCACCGGACACACCTTATACAATTCGATACACTCGATGAAACCGCTCAGAGCGGTCTTCAGCGGAGGGCAGAGACCCGAGCACTCCTTAAGAATTTTGACAACTTCATAGCCCCCACTCAAAACGTCTTTTGCGAATTCCTTGACTAAGCGGCCCGGGTTAGAGCGCTAACAAGTCTCACAGATGGGTATATACCTGGAAGAGATGACGATGGGTCATGCTTAGAGGAACCTACGACAGCTACTGATACGCTGGGGGAAGATGGAACATCGGCGTGGTGCCCCTCGGAGGAAGGCGACCTGGACATGGGTGGAGAAGTTGTACCAGATGGTGATGCATGCGCGCTCTGGCCCGTTTGAATTTGGGCGGCATTATTAGACGACGATGAACGACTTCGGAACGATTTCCAACTGTTCCGAATGGCGGAAGGCGAGAGGAAACGAGTTTTCTTGTTCTGTGGTTGGTTCGACATGTTGTGGTTATGTTGCAAGTGGTGGAAATGTTAGTAGCGCTCAACATGGATTCTCCCAGGTGGGATTGCTGCGGAACGGTCAAAGGAAACATAGCCCCGTTATCTGACTCGTGTTCACTCGTGTGTGGAATCGGACTCTCATCCATGTCAATCCGTGGGATATCCGCATTTCCTTTGGATCTACGATACAAGCCCGTTCGGTGCATCCCCTCATCAACCTGACGTAGATCTAGACCTGGCCAGCGCCAACTCATTTCCCCGTATGAATAGGCAGAGCCTCCCAGTCTCCAGAAAAGCAGCTGGTTGCAATTGGGAATTCTTCAACGAGGCTCCTTGAATTCATAAGAATCACAGTGATTGAATAATTAGCGAACTCACCCCAGGCAAAAGACAGAAGAAAGTATGCAGAGGCGCCCCTCTGGCAGTGTACCACCTGACGCATATATATCGCCCCAAAGTCACCCTCTCGTTCGCTGGTGCGCCAATGAACAAGAATGAGTCAGTGACAGATGGCACCGTACTCAGGGACACGGGAACACAGGTCACAGAGGCACCATACGGCGCACAGCTTTCTCTAAACGCTGATATGCGCGAGGTCAATTAACAAGTCAAGGATACGGAGACACCATACCGCATTCTCAAGTGGGTGGGCGGATCGTTATGCCCTCAGAGACTGGTGGACAGCTCGTTGTGCCCGAGGTCGATCGATATAATCGTCATGTGAAGATGTGGGCGGTTGGATGGCGGACATCGGCGTCGTGTCACTTTACACGATGGCCCAAGCGGACAGGAACGACGGGACTTAACGGGTTTGGTTTGTCAGCAAGTAACGATGAACAAAGAGGCCTCACAAAAAGGACACAAAGAAACACCAATACTCACGCAATGTCCAATGTCATACTCTCCGTCGCGGTCGTTTTGAACATCCAAATCGTGCTTTCCGCCTCCTCGATCCACTTGGGGTCAAGTTGAACCCAAATGCGCTCGGGATTGTACGCGACCATACGTCTGCCTCCACCTGCGCGTCCAAGCTCCCTATGTGCATTGGAGGTCCAGCACCACCTCCCACATATCGCCCCTTTCAATCTTTGCAGCTTTTACCCAACCTTTACCACGTCAAGGTGTCGACGCCTTGTCATCCGAGCGCGCTCCCAAAGTCCGTATCCCGGCCGTGTGCAGTCGGATTGTACAATAATTGCACAACATCGAGGGTGTAGAGGGTGGAGAGTAGCCGCTGGCGCATTTGAGTGCAGTTGAGCAGAGGAACGAATGGAAAAGCCAATTCGATATGGGAAAAACGGACAACGAGAAATTTTTCGGAAAACGTGTTATATTATAGAGAAATTCGCTTACCTGCATAATACCTGCCTACATTTCTACTCCTGCAGCCATCCAATTGAACACAGTTGCAAAGAGAAATCGCCAATGGGCGTTGTTGACCAGGAAAGCTTTGCTCCTGTTTATTTTCTTTGCCGCTGATGTAATCGCTTTTCACGTCTTGTACGGTCACTGGCGAAGGGGAGCTTGGGATGCTAACGGCTCCAGGGGTCGCATGAAGGTAAGTAAGTATTCATATTTGGAGGGCCTACTTATCGTGGCAGGAAGTTGGAGTTACATCAAGCATTCAGTCACCCGTAGCCCCATTTTCGCGCCACGGTCTTATTTAGAAGGATCTCTCCTTGTCCATGGAGCTCGCTACACGTTTGGTCGAGACCACCTCGACAGCGGCTACAAAAAAGTCGAGGTCGCGTTCAGGGTCGCCGTCTGCCCATACAGGTACGGGCTACAGCGATAATGGTGATACGACACGCCCTCTCCTCGTGTTCACTGTTGACGACAACGAGAACTTCGAATTCGACGATCTGCCATCTTTCCCGCCGCCTCTGCCGCCTCGAATTGTTTATCTGGTACGAAGGGAAGGTCTCCGTCGACTATTGAACATTCGCAAGGCATTTCCAAATTTGAGGTTATCTGCGTTTTCAATGCCCTCTTCATCCTCTGCGGTTAAATACGAACTAAAAGCATCGTAGTCTGTACACCAATAATGACGAATGGTTAAAGTGCCCGCAGTTCACCGAGTTTCATGTGACACCATTCTTATAGGGGTGTCTTACTCTTTGCTTAGACACTCTGACCTTGCCAATAATGTCGGATTCCATCCCAGCAGCGCGGTTGCTACCTAATCGCAGCACTGAATCGCTCCATACACAAAGAATCCGCTTAAAGCCTGCCGAAGTTTTAGCAGCTCGAGATATCACCTCTCTAGTAAGGGCGGAAGATGCACTCTCCTTCGCTCACTCTGCGCGTACAGGGCTTGGAGCACTTCAACTTATTGTGGAAGACATACAGGTACAAAACGCTGTGCAAGAGATCAGGAAGGAGCTCCCATTTCGGAGGGATAAAATCCCGCATTGGTCCTGGATTGAATGGGATATGTATGACCCTTGGCCCCCGAGCTGTTATCCACACTCCATCTCCTTAAGCGCAACCACTCATCCAAAGATTCTTTGGAAAACCGGAGAACCGGCGTGTATTTTCATCCATCCACAATCCTATTTCTCGGTTAACTTGAACGACCAAAATCGCACACTCGCACTTGACAATTTCTCTTCAAATATACGGTTTCCTACACTGCCAGCCTTTATAGACTCGCTCGTCACGGTCCTCTTGGAACCCCCGTTGGGTTACTTTCATTCCCAGTTGGCCGGGTTCATGAGAGGTTATCTGGCCGAGCTTTTATATTACCCTTTTCGTGGCAACAATCCGTTGAAACCCAATGGAGAGCTGTGTAAAAATTATGCATCAGTGGCCAAACTCCTGCGAGAAGAAAATAGACCCTACTTCGTCAATTATCTGAAGCGCCACGGGCAAGTTAATTGGGAGCAGGAGATTGAAATTCGACGGGCTGTTTTAGAGAAAATGGGGTGAGTCGACATCATTGTGGTCTTGCACATAAAACATTGGTGGTTAACGGACGTTAGTCATCCTGCAGCACGTCCTTTTCCAGCTAAAAGTCGCGATCCGGAGTACAGGTGCTCGCATTCACGTCTTGGTTTTTTATCAGCCTTTAATTAGTAAAATAGCGCGCGAATGCGAACATTGTTTCCTGACAGGGGGTAAAACCATTTCTCGATATGATTTGGAAGTGGCTCACCATTCTTTAGGCCGTATAATTGGGCTCCGTTTGGGAAGCCTGGCTTATGTCGTAATATTCGAAAGCTTCGCAGATTTCGCTGATGAGCGGGAGAGGTCAACATGGTATCGACGCCGGCGTAGGCTGCGTTTGACCTTCAGAGAAGTGTTGAGGAAGGGTTTCAATTCTTGAATTCTTATCATGAATGAAATTTAACTGGGCGAAGAATTTTGTGACTGCAACGCCTGTCTGCCATCGAGGTCAACAAAATATGTGGAATTAAGGTCGCTGTTCCAACATGAACTATATGGCACAGAGAGGTTTGGGTGCGTCGGACCATCGTGAAGGGAAGATGCAGATGAATCAAAGATGAATGCATGACACACAGAAACTGTCATGTGACATCTGCGCACGGACCACGGCGACCCATCGTCATCACAGCGTCTATGATTTGGCCTGCTACACTAAACTGCAATTGACGGACACATTTAGAAGGCTGCACTGATTCTTGAAATTGTCGTATGAAGCATACTGACACGATATTACCAGCTTCCTGCTTGCAAGTTGAATATGTTGAGAAAGGTTCGCTTTCCGACCTTCCCACCTTGTTCCCTCTGCTAACTCACCTGACAGTGAAAGTATCCAGCCGCACATATATACCTTTTCAAGCTCAATTTGACTGTCTCTCAACCTCGCCTATGTACTCTCCATCTCGTCCGTGTTCAGTGGGATTAGGCCTCCGAATGTTGGAGTACCATGAAGGGGGATATTGAATATAGGATTTGTACATGTGGGTTAGTGAGATCCTTCTATCCGTGTGGAAATGCTTTTTACGGACTGACATGCTCCAGCCAGACCGAAACATCTCAGCTGTATCACACCCACAGCATTTCCCGTTGTTTAAACAACATCGGCCATCCGATGACGTTCCGCAACGACGTCCGCATGCTGGTACGGTGCCTAAAGATACGGTGACTCCCTTTAATTTACTGTTCAACGTCTCAGCAACCAGCTGAGGACGGGACGACTCAACCCGCCCTTTCGGAAATTCAGCCATTGGGAATCAGATAGACATCGAAGGTCTGTACGAAGTGAAACTCCCCTTGCCCAAGAACCGAGCGGAGGGTGAGCTCAAGCATCCGGCCAAGGTCGCTAGTACGTTTGGAGGTGAGAGTCGCTTTCATTTTCCCCGCTTTCTGTTTTCACCGTGGATGTACATGGCTCGGAGGATGCCTTCCGTTGAGAAGAGTGTTGTCATGTGCATGGCTCCTCCCTTCTCTTCGCCCCATTTCCCTTTCCCAGTTCCCTGATCCCTTCCAAACGTGTTGCTCTCGCAGAAATATTTGTTTACTTACCCCCATTTATTGCGTTCGCTTCCGACCAGGATATTTGACCAACGTCGTATCGACGACGTACGACGCCGGAAGTTTGTGGAGCTCTATACTTGTACTCGAATTTTTATCTCCGGTCCTAATATGTCATACCCTTGGGTATTGGTACCAAATTGGTACTTGTTTCTTCTCATTCAAGAAACGGCGCTCAAAGTCTTAGTAGTACCTATTCGGACTTGTTTCTGACCGTCACCCCTTTGAATGGGTGAGTCATGACGGAGTCGGGACTTGACAGCGCGTATAGAAGGCCCTGGCGAAAACATTGCCAGGGTTTGGCGACGTGTCGTCCACCTCCCTCAATACCGCATTTGGCACGATGTTCCTAATGGCGCATCCAAGGTGACTGTTCATTTACAAGGCTGGCATTCCTTAACGGCGCTCTATGTGCTTCATCCTAAGTAGCTAGGATGGCGATGACTTGCTCATCTCCACATTCCTCTGCAGCTGGCAGCCTGCCAACGATGCGGCAGAAGGAGCACAAGGCGTTTTATGTCAACTCGGGTGGAAATAGACGGCCGAGTGACCTGAGTGCTTGTATTTTCATGAAGAGTATGCGGAGGCTGACCTCACGATTCGGCAGCTGACTCTGGTCGCCTCCAACAAAGTCGCGTGGCAACTCGGCACCGAATCGCGATTTAATCACGGTTATATAAAATTCACAGTGTTGACGGGGCCTTTCCGTCGACATGTCCTGACCCTCTCATAGCTCTTTTACTCGGCTCAAGAAGAAACTGGGAGGTACAAGCCTACGGACGAATTAAGGGTTGATTTTTGATTTATTCTCTCTGATTGGCGGTGGAGATATTACCATTACGGTACGTGTTTTCTCGAGCAATTTCTTGAACTTACCTATCTCACTTCTGCCTGTGGAAAAGATCTTTGCAGTCAATTCCGCCTACCTCCTACCTCGGTGAAGGCAACGCAAGGGAATGGAATATCAGTTCGAAGGATTGGATGTCGTGCCACACCGTGACCAACGTTGAGGTTACCCTCTCTGGTATGTATGTACCATGAAATTCGAAGGTAAGTGTTTACCACACTTTAGTTCCCTGCTACCCATAAGCCGATCAACGGCCCCGAACCGCAGTCCGTGTTACATAAATATTAACCAATTAACCCTTCTCTGGATATTCAACCGCTTCTGGAACAAGAAAATAGCGAGCAGTGATAAGGCTTTCTCGGTTCACGCTACGAGCCTGGCTACGTATACCGCCCCGCTCCCGATTTCTCGTTACGCGGATCAAATTACGGCCAAAACCTGCAAGAAACCGCTAACTTATTTGGTACCCATCAGCGTATAAAAGCAGGATGTGCAGAGTCGGTATTCGTTAGACCAAGACTCCAGTCAAGTGTAGTCTTTCCAACAATCCTAGTAGTGAGGTTCATTAACCACTCCTTCCTCCATAGTCGAATCTATCACTGATTTTCCTCTCCATGTTCTGTTCAGAGCATCATGAAGACCTTCGGCATCTCTACCTTCGTAACTCTCGCTGTTCTCGTCCACCAGTCCTCCGCCGCACAGTGCAGGTGCTTTGGGCGTGAAAATTTAGAGACCATGATGTCCTCCATGGTTTGCTGCCGTCAAGTCATGGATGCTAACCTCACGAAGGGTGACGGCTTAGTGCCGTGGTGCGAAGTAGTTGGGGAGAGATATTCGGGCGCCTTTAAGAGCTGTTGCGACGCGCGTGAAGGCAATGTGTCTTGCATGTAAACTCACTGGATCGAGGACGGATCAGGGTTCCACGAGTTGAACGGTATGCTGGGCGAGGCCAAGATTGCGTCGAGTGAGGTTCGAGCCGGGTTAGAGGAGACATGACATCGGTGTCCACAGTGGCTATTATCAAAAAGCCAAAAAAAAAAAAAAAAAAAAAAAAAAAAAAGAGAAGGGAGACCACTGCAATATAATATAATACGGCAGGTAAGCATCATAGTCTGTTGATCGGCAGTTACGCCCGCCAACTTGAATAATGACGTGGTTAAAGTCCTTATCATAGGAGTCGTTGTCCTCTCTATAGGCGTGTCTTACTCTTTTGCAATAATGTCGTATTCCACCCCAGCAACACGCTTGCCACCTAATCGCAGCACTGGATCGCTCCATACACAAAAACTCTGTTTAAAGCCTGCCGAAGTTTTGGCAGCTCGAGATATCACATAGAACGAGAAACGTACCTCGCGTTTGGCAATCAATGACGAGCACGCCTCAAGCTTGGGACGGCGTATATGTAGTCTCTCCTAGACAGACTTCGATATATGTGACACTGCGGGCATGGGCTTATATATTCAGTGAATAAAATTTGAATATACAGAAAATAAATTTCAAATATCTTCAAACTCAAATTCACTGTTTATATTTTGGATATATATAAATTTTATTCTTCAATTTTATTCAATTTTATTCCGTGCTTATATTTAGAATCTATTCAATCCATTTTAAGCGAAGAATATGTGCTGATCATATTTGAAATTTAGTCACTGAATAAATGCAGAATATACTGGAATCTAAATTTAGAATTTATTCACCGGATATATTTTAAATTTCATCTCGATATATTCGCGGGATAGATCTTGATGATATTCAAAATATGTTCAGCAGTTTCGATCATTGAACATAGTGTGAATATATTAGAATCGCAATGAGGCTGATCGAGTCACGTCACGCTCCGTTATCTCCAGCTAAATCTGATCGTCAGATTCACCTTTCATCAGCAAAATCTGTACGTTCAAACCCCTTCGCACTCTCTAAGAGCTTTCTAATGTTGTCCGTTCTGGCTGGTAGAAGTCTCGTCAAAACCCACAGTGTCCAACGCCGAGTCGTTAGCAGAATTGTGTAGGATAATTCATCGTCCATGACGCTCCCCACAACCTTCTCCGATTTTGTAACCTGGGCGCCCTGGGCCTCAATATCTTCCTTGCCCGTCAAGCAAGCCAACGCGATGCTTCCACCTCCACAACTTCATCAACGGTGGAGACCAAAGTGATCAGTGCATCACCCGATATCGAGGGACTGCGAACGTACGCCCTTCGCCGAGCTGCCTGCAGATGACGATAGCGAGGCAGGTAATGAGCATGCTGGTCAGAAGAAGAAGCGGCATGTACGGTTGTAGAGGGGGAAGAAGAGGAAATTTGTCAACATTCGTTCATTGCATCCAGATTTACAACTCGGTATCGAAAGCATCAAGCAGGCCATCGCTCAAGGTCAGTTTTATTCCCTTTCTGAGCCTACCTTTCCAACCCATTTGTACCAGAGTCTTTGGCACAGAAGGGCAAATTCCCGCCAGCTCTTAAGCCTCAGCTTGCACAACCTGCATTGCTAGCCATAAAGCTATATTTGCGACTGCCAACCTTCCTTAGAAACTCATAAAACGGACTGTATACACGGACCACGTCGCACTCCTCGTCGAGAGAAAAGAAATACTTCTCAACGAATTCGCCGAATTGGCATGGCTTGGCTTCGCAAAGGCCGAAGAAGAATTCGAATGGGAACGAAGTGTTGTAGCATGGGGTATGTTCCCCATCTCTACTGTCTACGCCTACTCACTTTCTTGCTTACATAAACTGCAGCAAGCGAAGCTACCTGTCAGTGCATGGCGCCCCTGTGGTGTTGTTGATCAACATCCATCTCCTCTGTGGAATGTCATGTGGGTCCGGAAGAGGTCGTTCCAGCACCCGTGCCCACAGCGGTACTGTTCGCTGCTTCGGCTGCTTCTGCACAGAGAGAAGGAGGGTAAAGAACATGGTCAACACTCTCCTATGAAACAGTTCCGCATGACTGAGACGATGAAGAATATCATTGGTTCTACTGAGTAACGAGTGTTGTCGATTGGAGAACGGAAAGAAGTGAGTGTTTTGGTGAACCGAGGCATCAACCGGCTGATGCTTGTCATAGTACATACGGGGTCTCAATGATTCAAGTTAGCTAGAAGGTTTAAGGAAGGTTCTTTACCAAAAGGTTTGGCCATTGATTTTCTCTTCCGAATTTACATTGATTTATAGCTGCATTTCCTGCCAGTGGTGCCCATTCCATCGTAACTCTGGTCATTCACAACCATCGGTGACCGTAGACTTCCTTCCTACCCTGCCTATTCAGGATGTTGAGCGGGCTTCGCACGTTGCGCGCCAGTTTCAGTGGTCGAAAATTTCAACGTTAGAAATCGGTTAGAAACAAGCTTGGGGGCCTGTCATACCATTGTTAGAACACGAAGACCAGAATGCACAATTCTTCGGAACACATACGGCGCAGGTGAAGATAGCAAGATATTGGTGAGTCCGTCATACCATCACACTTCTTGACGTTTGTTCCTCGTTATATCGAATCGTTCTCAGCTCACTGCCGCCTTCAGTCGGGCCATGTGCATGCGCATCGTTCTTTTTTCTCCATGGACCAACTAGCGGAAACTCCGGAGATTTGATTTGACCTAGATAGATTATCGGTAAACGAGCATAGCTATACCTCTTCGTGAATGGACAAGTGCACCAATTGTGTCCGACGTTAGCACCGTGATTGTACTCGCCGTGCGGCGGGCGCTGTTTACTACTTACCTCGACACCAACAGCTTGATTTTGATCTCACGGCTACTTGCTTCCATCCATGACGTCGTCAAAGCATACAACAACGAACTCAAACTCTATTCCTCAACGTCACAACGACTAGAATCAAAGCTCAACATTCAACATCATAGATTTTGTTCTACTACGTACAAGGGATTATACTAACACGTAAAAGATACCAACACGTAAAAGGAAGCACAAGATGACGAAAACACATAAAACGAAGAGTCGACATGCGATCTAACGCATAAGCGCCATCAGAAGGACGTGGAATTGTGAGAAACGAACGTATATGCTACGGATCTAAGTACGAGCTGGGTCGTGAGCCGAAGGTGTCGGTGAGTACTTACATTGCTTTGTTCATCCTGCACAATACTGACGGATGTGATCATTTCCAAGAACTCGAGCATTGTGATTATATCGCACCCGAAGTGTTGTTCGACACGAATGGACACACCTTCGGCATGTGGTCCATCGGCGTCATCTTGTGCACACTCGTCGTCGGCTGCCCTCCATCAGATCAAGGACCTCAAGTAAGCTTTTCGGTTTAATGCTTGCTTTCTCCATTTAATGTATGACTTCAGGAGCATCCGCGACAGCGAATACGAATTCCCCACAGACCGCGTCATCTCTGGGGCGGTCCAACACCTCATTCAACAAATTCTGACTCCCAATCCCTCACAACGTCCAACCCTGCACGAAATCGTTGACCACTCATTCTTCACACAAGGCCCCGTCCCCTCCTACATCCCTACCTCTGCACACGATGGCACTCCGGACTTCAGACACATATCCAAGTCCGTGTCAAGCACCAACCTTAAGCGTCTGAGAAAGTACGCGCTTCTGGACGAGGAGTACCCCATGGCGACGATGCCATCGTTCACGTCTGGAGGCATCACAGCAAGCAAGAGCATCACCACCAGCATCGCACAGCAGTGCAAGGAGTTCCAGAAGGCCGTTCGACCCGGCTCGCCTATCTCAGCATTGCTTAGCTCGGCAATTGTTCATGGGCAATCCCACTGGACCCAGTGGTGCTGTTTCCAATGCCTGTGAGAACCAGTTATTGAGGGAATTGCAAGCGGTGAAGGAGAGCCCCCTTGCTTTCGACGCCAACTTCGACGCCAAAGCCGCAGGGAAAGTATTGCGGACCCCAGAAGCGCACCTGCCCGTCAGTTGGGTGGACTACTGCAACAAGTATGGCATAAGGTACGCTCTGATGAGAGTGTCGGAGTGCATTTCAACGATAGTACCAGTTTGGCTTTGAGCCCTGATGAGGTGTACGTTCCCTTTTTTACCATGGCACTTCATTGTTTGCAAACGCTGTTCGACTACGTCACCTCCAGGCGACGCGGAACCATATTCGTGCGCAAGTCCTATACGGTGGACACACACCCGGACAAGCTTGAGAACAAGGTGTACCTGCTGAAACACTAAACAGGAGTGTGGTGGGGAGGGTTCAGGCGCACACTGCAGGGAAAAGGTCAGTTGCACGACTTTGTGAAGAAACAGATGGACGAAAACTTACGTTGTATGACCCAGTTCGTCGACTTCTTCTTACGGGCGCAGGGCATCTTCGCGACTCGGAATCTCCGTTCCGGGCTGCCATGGGTCCCAGAAGAGCTGGCCATCCGACTTGGTAAGAAATACTCTCATGTGTTGGGATGGGAATTGGGAAAGGTCGTCCTGCTGTTGCAGGTGCTGTTTGATTAGTGCTGTTACCCCAATATTTTTGGACGAGTGAATAGATAATCTAGATGTGCTCATAATTTTCGTTCTGCTTTCATTCTGGTTTATTTAAGTCAATTTTGAACCACAAACATTCGAAATCAATTTGAGCAACCCGTAACCCTTCTAACTGCCCTGATACCCGTCCGCCCACCCTCAACCACTCGCCCCACACACCAATGCGCGCCATAAACCAAAAACTGCAGGGACATAACCACCCCTACCATGGAACAAATAGCGATCACACCTTCTGGCCAGGCGTCGAAAGCCACAAGCTCGAGGAAGAGCATGAGGGAGAGGGCGGAGGTGAACATGCAGAGGCCTGGGACACGCGCTGAGAGGGAGAAGAAGAAGTAAGAGCCGTATACGTCCCGAGCACGAGCCTGGATAAGGAAGGGTTAGAAGAGACAGCTGAGTAGATATAGGAACATACAATGAATGTCTGTAGGTCTGCCCAGTTATATTGCAAGAGAAACCAGGCGTCACATGCGATGCCGAGACCAGATGCAATGCTGCTCGTAGCAATAGCACGCCGAGCGTAGAAGTTGACATTGAATAGTGACCCTTGGGAGATGGAGAAGACGGCTGTATCGACACTGATGTAAGTGACATTAGCAACTCCTTCCGGGAACGAAGTCGAATGTACATACGCTGCTAGTGCGACTAGCTGTATGAAGAGTTTGAGTAAGAATGGAATCAGGGAGGGAACGAAGAGAAGAGTGCTCACCAAACCTCCGATATAGGTCCACTCCATCTGTAAGCGCGCGAACACCTTGTCATATTCTGAGTCCGTAGTAGCTTCCTTCAGTTCGCTGTACATCGTAAATGACGCCAGAACTCTCTCCATCAGCGATAGCGACAGAGCGGCAATTTGACGATTTGTTGGGAAACGGCAAAGAATTCGTGTACGCATGAGGTCGCGGATGATGATGTGAAGGTCGACGGTCACAGGGACGAGACGACTTTGGGGGCAGATTGATCTGTGGCTGCGTCGTGAGACCGATGGTGGAAGGCTATTTTATCAACTAGTGTGACACCGCAGATGTGGGATGCTGAGAAAGGTCCTCAAGCAACAGCTGCAGTTTCTATTGATTCGAATGCAACATCGCCCACTCGCATACACATGCCGTCATCTATTCAGTTTACCGTTAGCTAGCGAAAAAACCAGCCACCGTCGAGGAACCACTCGTTGTTGAAGAACCAACAGTTGAGGAACCAGCCATTTTTGAGGCGGCCACCATTGAGGAACCAACCATCACCAGTGAACCAGCCGTTCCGGCTGTTGAGGAGCTAACAGTCGAGCAAGAGGTCGTCGCTGGTGAACCAGTAGTTGTTGAGAAATCAACAACCGAGGAATCAGTCCTTCCTCAGGAGAAATCGGCCACTATCGACCATCCAGTTGAAGCACCAACAGCCCCCGATGCAGAACCAACAACACTCCTCGAGAACGGGAGAAGAAACGCCCATTGAGACTTTTGCACCGGCTGAGACTTCCAAAGTCGGCTTCTACAATCTCTTTTGCTCACATCCTGACTGGGTTTTCGCTCCTTATACCTTATGTATCGTTTCACTTGAATCTCTTTTGGAAACTTGGACAGTCGGCAATTGCACGTTTGCTTCGTTTGTCATGATTTGTTCTTCGTTTACATATGGACAGATCTGCTGTACCAGCACGTCGACCTTCTGAGCCTAAGTCCTGACAGACATAATCAAATCAACATAACCTAGCAAACGGTGGATATCAGATACTCTGACAAGGGGCGGAGATCACTCACCCACTGGCACAACTGCAAAAGAAGATCGACAACTACCTAATGATCCAAAGGCAAATAGGAGACTCACAGCCTATTTCATTCTTTGAATTAATCATCAACTAGAACCTGTTGAAATATTAACAAGATGCCAGTGGACGATTGAAGGAAAGAGTTATTTGACACGGCTTGCTGCCAAAGCACGTAGGTTGTACTCAGGTTGAACGAGTACCTCCGCCCTCCATCCATGCACTGGCCTAGAAAAGTAAGAAGAGCGTCGGAGCGCGAGTTCAAGAGAAGCCACAACTACATGGGGAGTGGGGAAATACTGGGCTACCATGGCCAACAGCACCACAGACAGGACACTGGTGCTCGTGCATGATCGTGTACAATGGCCGAATTTGTGCGAAATGACGCCTTTCCCGATTTGGTAATTGCGTCATTTGAACTACCGATCCAACCCAAGTTCATCGTGTTCTCGTTGGCGTTGATGAGGCTGACTTCGTTCCCAACGTAGGATCAAGAGCCCGAGCGAGGATCGAAACTGATACGAATGGCAGCGTTGCCGTTGGCGACAAAAGTGAGCTTGAGTTAACACACTTCACCCACTCTTGGACGACAGTCTTGACTTTCTCTTGTTGCATAGCGTTCCCACCGATGAAGGTGTAGGTGAGTTCCTTTTGTTTGTTAAGTCACAGAGATTGCACCACCAACGCCAGGCGTCCGACATCTGCGGCTGACCGCTGTAGAACCCATTGCTGCTCTTTCTCTACAGTTCATCACGTAGATGGTCAGTGAGCACATCTGTCTCCTCTGTGGATTCCATTCTGTTTAGGCTGGCAAGAAGCTCGCAAAAGCGAAGTTCCGTCTCGAGGAAAGCGCCGTTGGCATAGCAGTCAGGCCTAAGTGCATGTACACCTGAGTTAGGTCATACTATATCTGCTTCAGCTGGAAAGGTATAGTCTCCGTGAGTGAGGGGATCATTGGCGAAAGTGAACAGAGTCATAGGGCTAGAGACGGGGAGCTGGCAACGAAGATCCAACTCCTCTCTGATTAGTTGGATCCCAGTTAAAATCTGTTGGCCAGGGGTAGAAACATGTTTGAACGTCAACACCAGTGGTGAGACCAGCTCTCTCAAGCCTCCGATCATCTCGACTATGGCGATCACGAGTACTGCGACTCAACCAGTGACCCCCCCCCCTTCGTAAACCCCTGTTGATGAATTGTAGATGGTACAGTGCGAACGGCACTTGCAAATGCAGTCTTTGGGACGGTAGAACTCCGGGAACTAGCAAGAGCTGAATACATTGAGAGACGCTTTGCAACCCATATGAGTATGCAATCGAACTGCTTTCATCTCACACCTTTTGCGTTTGATTTTGGAAACGTACAATTGTAACAATCGTCTGAGTTGACTGCCTGCACGTGATCTAGACTACCTTGAAATCAAAGATGAAGTCCAAGAAAACAAATCGGTTGCGCGATCGATGGATGATACAGTATGTGAATCATAACCAAATGTCATCTCTCTTTTGGGATCCATTCGCAAGTGAGGTGTGCCATGTCAGGATGGTGTTCGTTCAAGAACTTAAGTGCCAGCTTTTCCATGTTTTGATTGAGCAAGCGCGTCTCTTTTAAACCCCTCAACTGGTCCCGCCATCTTGACACAGGCTCTGGTTGAGCCCCAATATCCGACAAACGACCCCTATATCTGGCTTCCCGGTAATCAGTCCACTGGCCATAGTTCTCCGCACAATCTTTCTTCTCAAAGAAAAAAGCTGGTGGGAACCAAGATTTGTATGCTATGACGGGACCTTGCCCTGTAAAGAAGAAGAGTTTTCAGTTGCTGATTCGCTCAATGTATAATTACATACCTGTGTCACAAATATATGTCCCGCATAACAAATCCAGTTCCAAATCTGTTAGGTCATCGTCGACAAGCGTCTCACCAGAAGGGTGATGAACTTCTCGCATGGGACCACCACCCACAGGACCACCCAATATTTTGTCAGCATGCGTAAAGCTGATGACTAACCGCCATGGCATCCCCCCTCGAAGAAGAGCTGCACGGATACGTGGTTGACGGACCAGAATCTCTCGGAGGTGAATATAGCTATCAAAGTCGCGCTTGCTGAAAACATAATTGGGGCCACGAGAAGGGAGCTGATAGATGACGGGCATACTTGGGGGGGGCTTAGGCATCATACTTTTCCACACCAGGGTACGGAAAGGTACCCCACGCTCAATCAAAAAAACGGGCAATATCAGCCTCCCTATAACGTGGATCAAGTCTACAAACCAGAAGTACGTCGGCAGCAGTAGTCACCGCTAGCTTCCAAAGCACGGTCGCCTCACTCTTGAAGTCGAAAACAAAGATCCAACGGTGGTTGGCTTGAATCTGTTCAAAAAAGGATAATGACCCGACTTCAGTCGTTTGGTAAACACCAATGACTGGCGGTTACTTGGCGAAAGATCCCAGTAATCACTCGACGGACATTTGCCAGCTACCAAAATTTTAACAAATTGCAAAGACAGCCGAGCTATATCAGACGCCTCAAATTGTCGGCGCATTTCTGGCTTGTCATCCGTGTCCAAACCAAGCCAGCGGGCAAAATGTTGTCTATCCTTCTCAGAAATTTCAGGATGCGATTGTGGAATTGGGACTGGAGGAATCAATCCATAGTGCTCATGCAATGTCTCACAGACGCCAATTTGCAACAGCTCCAGCAGAGATGTCTGACGCAGGGTGTTGACGGCTTGAAGATGGTCAGAAGGTAAATCTGTCTCAACATATGGTTCAGGATTTGTGGGTGGAGTGGGGGCACGGAGGGGGGTATTCAAAATGGGAGGGGGTTCATCGCCTAACCCCATCTGTGCGATTTCCTCTCTCTCCTCGTTGGTGTAGTCCCCAAGGAACGTTCGATAGTCCTCTGACTCCTGCCACGTTTCTGGCAGGCCGGCTCCAAACTCTTCACAGATATGCCATGTATTATTGAATGAATCATAGCGTTTGTACTTGTCTTCGTACATCTCCAGAATGTCGACGCGCTCTGCCATTGTTTTTTCCTCTGGAATGAGTTGGTTTCCGCCATTTATAGGCTCAACCCACTCAATCACCCTGGCACTCCGGGTTGGTGGTTGGCGCTCGCGGTTCCGTCGTCTCTCACGATCTCTAGCAGACTCCACCTTTGCTCGTTCAAGATTTTCCTTTTCGAGGTCTGGAAGATACTGCTGCCACGACTTTGAACCAGACTATCTCGCAAGTGCAGCGGTCCCAGGAACGAGCGTAATGGCATGTTGCGGGTCGGTGGTCAAGAATGGGACCCCCGGATTGTCTGTTAACGGTGCCAGACCTCGATAGAATTCACTTTGCTTAGCTAATTCACGTTCTTCAGGACCCCATCTATACCAGACAGGTATACCTCTCTGACAGAACCACCGAATCGAAGGCTGATGGTCAGAAGGTCCCTGATTGGGTAGCTTGAGGAAAATCCCTGCCCGAGGATTATCAATTGAAAAGTCGCAAACAGTGGAAGCGGAGATAGTATCCACCCAGGTAGAATCAAAGCAAATTTCATTTGGGTAATCAAGGCTTCGCTCTTTCAAAAATGATCGCCAGTCAGGTACTCCAAGAATGGCATCTTTTCCTTGGTCTTCGCACCGCTGTCGATAATCTTTCTGTGCCTCTAGCGAGAACTCAGCTCGAGCCACCCCATAGGATAGTAAACCCATCCAGACAAAAAAACCAATCTCGAGAAAGCATTGCAGCTTTTTTGATAGAATGGGGTTGTGTGAAAGACGCCCGATAACCCTTGGCCCGAGGAGAATATGGAGCGATTGCTGCAATTTGGTAAGCTGCAAGAAGTCTTCGGGTGACATGGAGCAAATCGAGGTCCAGCCTTGTCCAAGAATCAACAATGTCTTGGGGCAGTGAATATTTTCCTTCTGATGTTGAGGGAAAAGTTTGTGGCAGGCGAGCTAGGCGATCGAAAGGAAAACCAACTAACATTGGTTCGCGAGGAACAAAGGCAAGCCAACCATGAGTGTCTGTCCACCATCTTGGCTCTGTAAAGTCTTTCCATCCCAAAGTCATAGGAAACTGCTGCTTATTGGGGTCTGTTTCTTTTGGAACTTGAATCGTCCGTGAGCAATTTGGCGAATAGTAATCCACACCAGACTCGTGAATCAGTCGACCACGGGAGCGGTCAAGCGGCCTGGCTCAAATGTCAGATGTTTTTGTCGATGACATTCGGCGAAATCGCTTACATGGACTCGTTAGCGCACGATGGCACTTTCTGCTGAGATAATCCGCCCTCCTGCCAGAAAAAACCTCTCCAGAACTCGCGTTTACTATTTGCATGAGTCATTAGTTCCAAATTACCACGCTCTACAAAAAGGTGTACTTACGGCATTTCAATTGATAATCCACGAAGTCACAACAAGATAGAGTTTGGTCGGAGTGCCAGCGAGGCGTGGAAAGAGGAGGAATTCGGGCGAAAGAACGTTCGGCAAACAAGAGGGTGGAGAAGTGAGAATCAATGTTTGTCAAAGCTTTAATAGTTGAGGAAATGCTGAGCGATAGGTGTACAAGGACCGAAGCACGTTAAGACGCGCAGAGAGAGAAGGCAAAGTGTTGGAAAAGAGGGTGTGAGGACAGCGCGAGATGTGATTCTTAAAGGATAGTGTGCATATGTGAGAGAATGATACCTCATGTTCTTTGCCGAGACGCAAGAGAGCTCTGAGAAGGTCAGGCGGGCACAAAACAGAAGGGCAAGTGTGACGGAAGGTGAGGAAAGCCACTTCGGGCGCGTTCGGCAAAGCCGAGACGTGCAGCGTCTAGAGAAGATACTTGTGGGGAGAAAGAGTGAGGCCTGAGGCCTGCTGGGACGGATAGCCCGTTCGGCAAAGCCGAGACGCGCAACAACTTGATTAGAGACGATGGAGAACCTGTGAGAAAATGTTGAGTTTGTTAAGGCACCGAGTGATGGCAACTTTAATTTATTTACTCGATCGTCACAGCAACGTTAACTGTACATGTGACGACTGGCGTGTACTTGGGGTGTACATCCAACTAGATCCAACTCCATCG